TTCCAATTAATTAACAAGAATATTGGTGAAGCACGTTGATTCCACACAATGAAATTTCAAAATTATAACACGTTGATTCCACATAATGAAATTTCAAAATTATAAGAAGAAGAAGAAAAAGAAGAAGAAGAAGATGATGCACCCTACAGCTAGCAAAGAAAGAAAAAAAGAGAAAAAGAAGAAAATTATTATGGAACCAAGTGTAATGGTTGATGCCACCAAACTACTTTAGAAAATGCTAAACAAAGAAGATTTAACGTGTAAAACACACAATCTTGTGCATATTCTTACATGTTAATGCCGACATCATAAAATAAAAATAAAAATAAATAAATAAATGTGGTCGGATTATAAAATAGAGTAAGTAGTAGTACTACGAATCTACGATTGAAGCAACCTAGCTGAGATTCAGACAAAGTTGATCATTTTATCCTGTCTGGTCTCCATTGTGGATCCAATTAATTTGTAATTTACTGTTACTATTATTACCTACTATAGTATTTTTAACATATGATGATACTTGTTTTTGTTAAGAAAAATAATTTTAACATAAAGTAGAAATGACTTTGTATGAATTAATGCATATAAATTTATTTATATAATGACACTTGATTATTATAAAATTAAAGAATTTTGTTAATATGTGTATTAAATATATTTTTTTTATCATAAATATATATTAAAAAATATAATTTAATTTTTAATTTATTAACTATCAATTAAATTTATTTACTTAATACTAATATCAAATTTAATTTTATATTTTATATTTTTTATATATATTTATGACAAAAATGTATTATTAATCTATAACTATTAGAAAAGTCCAAAACTAAATTTTTTTTGTTTAATAAGATGTTCTGCCTTCTTGATTTTTGATATATATCTTACCCAACCTCTTGCGTGCGCCTAGCCATGGTCTCCCCCATGGTTCGAACTAAAAGATGAACAATCTAAAAGAATGGATAATTTGAATGTGATAATATTTCCATTATCTGTAGGAGTATATATACAATTGCATACAATAGATTAAGCGAGATATCAGAAAACAAATCCCAATAATAAAACAAATGGCAACAGAAAAATATTTAAAATACAAATTTCAAAAATGGGCTAACGCTTATCACGAACAGCAGAAAACACCTGTTCTTCGTAACATGTTCCTCTTTCCAAACGTTTAAAAAAGGGGGGAAAAAAATCCAATTACCATGCAAAGTTGCAACCACTCTTCCTTTTGTTGTTAAACTTTTTAAGATCCACAAATACCATTAGCAAACTAAATATGTTCGCAATTCTTTGTGGTTTTTCTTATTTTATTGTCTAAATAAGTTAAGATGGTGCCCAAGTCCTTTTCAATTTCACGATGGAAAAATGTTTATGGAGGACATGTATCCACGTGCGATTAATTAAAGGATAATAATTCATGCATCCATTGGTTCAACACCGATAGGTGTACACTTTACAAACCAAATAATTATAAAAGTAAAATTACAAATTTACCCTTAAACCATCTTCTTCCTCACAAACCCATTTCCTAAATGACAGCAAGAACAAATCATTTGAATCACAACAAAACTCAATTAAGCATTCAAGCATCAAATCAGAATTTTGAGTAAGTTTCCTAAATGATAGCAACACCAAATCAATAGAAATTAATTTCCCAAATAACAACAACACCAAATTTTGAGAAATAAAACTATCGTCAATTTAGCTCATGATTTTGTAACTCATTAGACACATAAAATAGGTCTGTTTTTGGGATGATATAGCAAAAAGTGGAGTGCATGTAAGTGAAGTCAATCGACAGAAAAGAGAAAAGAAAACAGGAACGAAAATAGGGGAAATTTTTTGCAGTTTTAACACTGCATGCAGCTTTACTATTTTGTCAAATCCGTAAAATTTCACCGTTAAATTGATCTGAAATTTTGTTTGGGTATTCAAGAGACATTGATCTACATTTGAACGGTCACTTTCTCATTTTGAGCTTTGTAGATTTTAATTTTGTACCCAAAACAGTAGCTCATTTTTGGTAATCTTTTTTTTTTTTTTGTCTCATTTTCCTTGTTGGTTTGTCGCCTGTTATTCCTCTTATTTAGTGCTGGGTTTTTCACAAACCCAGGTGTTAAAGAACTTGTTTGCTTCAATAGGTAGAAAGAGAGGGAAGAAGAGAGTGAGGGGGAAGAAAGTTGAGAAATTGGTGTTGAACGGTTGAAGAGTAAGATGGAGAGACAAGAAGAAGAAAAAAGGGTGTTGTGGGAAAAAAAAAACCTTTAAGGGTAAATTTATAATTTTATTTTTATAATTATTTATTTTAAAAAGTGTGTACCCTCTAAATATCAAACTGATAGGTACATGAGTCATTTTCTTTAATTAAAATAACCAATGAGGCATTTTTTGTAGGCTAGTACATGGTTGTAATCCTCGATGAAGTTGGATCAATAATTGAACATCTTTCGTTTACGTTCCCTAGGCATGCCGAGGAGTAGTATGTGTTGACAAATTAGGTTTTGGTTCTAAAAGAGATGCTATGTGCCCATGGTGTGGGTCTGAGTGCGATTGGCATTCTCATTGGTTCTAACAAAACTAATCATCTCCCGAAGAAATTTTCTAACTTGGGAGCATACCTTAAAGTTATATTTATTGTATTTTTTATTATTAATTTATGTAAAAATTAAAAAATAATTTTAATTTTATTAATTATTCAATTAAGTTATTTCACATGATATTATTGTTGAATATAAGATTTTATTTTATAATTTTTCATATAAAATAGGATGAAAATGTTTAATAAATACACCTAATGACATGGTTTAAAAAATTCTTTCTTAAAAATAAAAATAAAAATAAATAAACATCTATTATTATTATTTATCTAAAAATAATTATCTTTTTTACCTTTTTAAATTAAAAATTTAAGGACAAATTATGTATTTACTTATAAAAAATATTTATATAACTTAAAAATAAAAAATAATAATTAATCTCAAAACAAATTTAAAGTAAAAAAAATAACTATTTAAAAATAAATAAAATAATTTTTATACTTCAAAGAAGCGGGGATGAGTCGCCTAATATCATCCATGGTTAAAAATAAGAATCTTGAAACTCATTGGCATCAATCTCATCTTTATAATAAATTAAATTTGTTATATCAGAAATTTTGAATTTGGATTAACAGCAATCATCAATCCACAAACCACTAGTAGGATGTATACATTAAAAATAAAGTTAGCAGTATGTTTCATGCTTTTTGAGAGCTAAACTTCGTCCAAATCAATTTTATAATTGAGTTGATGAAATAAACTCAGAGTCTTTTTTTTTTTTTAACCTTCAGTTGAAGAATCTTCATCATTGTAAAAAAATAGTAAAGGAGAAGGGGTTGATTGACAAGACATGCATTTAGTCTAAACTCGAAACTAATTTGTGTCAACACCAAAAATGTTTATTTTCCAAACTGAATTTCTTTTAGCCAAAATTTTAAAGATGAATAAAATGCAGATTTTCTAAAAAGAATTTTGGTTGTTAATTTTTAAAGTGTTAAAATCCAAGTTATTGATATCGTACCTGTCAGTATACTCAGTACATATGGATTATTATATTAAAATAAAACATTACATGATCCAATTTTATTTTGATTGAACTTTATTTGTTTTGGTCAAGTTTTGATGTACCGATCAATACACAAAAATTATCTGGTATAACTCAATTTAAAATTAAAAAATTAAAATTTTATTTTTGGTTTTAACTTTAATGTTTTACATAATTTTTATTTTTTAATTTTTTTATATACTTTTTTAATTTATTTTTCATTTTTTTTAATCTTTCTATTAATTACTCCTTTAAATTTGTTTAAATATACATATTTTTAGTTCCTTAATTTAAAATAGGTGGACGAAAAAATATGCATATATTAGAAGTTGAGATACTAAAAATGATCATTTTAAACTTGTTTTCAATTTATAAGAATGTAATGATTTTAAACATTAATATCTCTTATTTTTTTTAAAATTTTGATATTTAATTTATAAAAATATATATTTATAACCATAAATTTGAAAAGTTAAATGAAAAATTTTAATATTTGATACATATTATTTTAATAGCAAAATCAATATACATATTGATACGATATTAACAATTTTGGTTAAAATTAAAAGGATGAAGTATAACTGCATTTTCGCTCTTTTATTTTAATTTCATTATCCAGGTGTCAGGAAATGATTGGATAATTTTTGTTGAGAAAAGTAGGTGGCACACAGAGGATCCGATCCCTAACCTCCAAAACCCGCCAATAATTCCGTTACTGTATTTTTTATCGTTATCCGACGGTTGCTTTTTCTGGTTAAACGGATTTTCCTTAAATATCAAATTACATAAATAGCCGTCACCGCCATTATCCTCTAGAAAAAGCTGTTTCTGTTAAAGAAAATTTTTTTTCTATCATTTTGTCGTCTTCTTCATCAATCTCTTTGTTTTCCCCTCTCCTCCTCTGTCTCTGTTTTGTTGGAAAATTGACGGTGATCTTGAGGAGGAGGAGGAGGAGGAGGAGTTTTGGGTGTTTCTAATTCTAATGACCCTGATCTGATTCCACCTTGTAGTATCCAAAGTTTCTGTCTTTTTTTTTTTCTTTTTTTTTGTTAAATTTTTTATATTCAAGGATATGGGTCTTTGTATCTAGACTTATCTTCTTTCCATTGTCTCATTCCCTAGGATTTTGCAGGTGTCAGAGACCCACATCAGATCTTGGGACCCCACCACCTTCTTCGTTTCGTTTGGTGCTTCCACCCGAACCCATTTTCCATTTCTGTCATTGCATGACAGCTGTTATTGTCTGTACGATTGGGTTCTTGTCCTTTATGAGTAAAGTAAAAAGGAGAGGTTGAGAAGGAGAAGGAGAAGAAGAAGAAGAAGAAAGAAGCAAGAAGAAAGAAGAAGTATATAGTTTGTTTAATTGTTTTAGATTGCGTTGAGGTAATAAGTTTGTTGGTTTTGTTTGGTTATGGGCTTGTGTTGAAAAATTTTCTACCATGCTACCTAAGAATTTTGACAGGGAGGCCCACCGCTGGGTTAGGTGGGCTTCGTCGGACCAATAAGAACCCTAGGTGTTTGCAGCTGTTGTTGTTTGAAGGTCCCATTGGGGGGTTTATTTTTTCAGGGAGAGACAACTGGGTGTCCTCCTTCATTCTTTTCCCCAATTGGTTCTCCATATATTCTATGCCAAACTTGAAAATTTGACCCTAAGAGAAGTATCCTTTCCTGATGCTACTTTACTTCTTCATCACTTGTTTTCCCTTCATCCTATTTTTCAAGTCCCTACCTCTCAAACCTCTCCCACCATGGGCAAGTGAGGTGAGATTGCTGTCCCTCTGGTTTTGGAAAGAAATTTCCCTCTTTTACTTTGCTGGGTTTTCTCTCAAGACTGGGGATTTCCCCAGAATTCCCACCAGAATGTCATTTAACAAGATGTCTCTCACTTCAAAAGTTAACAACTTTGAGAAGGAGGCTCAAGGGATGTCGGTGTTGGACTTGCCGGAGCTACCCTTAGAATGCATTCTGGAGAGGCTGCCGCCTTCGGGTCTCTGTAACATGGCTGGGGTTTGCAGCTCTTTGAGGAGTAGGTGTACAAGTGATCACCTTTGGGAGAAGCACATGAAGCAGAAATGGGGTAAACTTATTGGTCCTGCTGCGCACAGAGAGTGGCAATGGCATATTTCTTCAAGGAGAAATTCAGGCAATCTCAAACAGGGGAAGCACAGAGGATGGATGAAGCTTCTGCAATTTGTGCGGCCTCTTTCATGGATTAGGTCAAGGGTTGATGATAGTAGCCGGCAGAGTTCTTTCCCGGTTGATTCAGTCATGTCTTGGTATCTTGCTCTTGAAACTGGCAGGTTCTGGTTCCCTGCTCAGGTCTTTAACCGAGAGGTACTACAAGTTTCCAAGTTTTAATTCATCAGATATGCTTATGCTAAACAACCAAAGACTAAATCAATCTCTTTGTTGTTCTATGTAGCAGAATGGGCATGTTGGGTTTATGTTGTCATGTTATGATGCAGATCTCAGCTATGATCCTCATACCGACACCTTTCAAGCCAGGTAATTTCAGCTGTTTTTAATTAAAGTGAACACAATTCTTGATATTCATAGCTTCTGCGTCAAAAGATCTGATTCAATTGGTTTCCCTTATTCAGGTACCCTCCACATGGAAAAAGGGCTGCTGCCATAGAGAATGGAGTGTCATGGGAAAGGTTAAGACCTCCCCCAGTTGATACTTCATCTCATGATCTTCATATCTCTGATTGTTTGCATGAACTCCGCCCGGGTGATCACATAGAGATTCAGTGGAGAAGAAACAAAGAGTTTCCTTATGGTTTGTCTTTCATTATACTCCCCTGTAGTAATTATTCTAAATCTATTAGCACAGTTAACTAGATCTTGTTATATTTTATCTTTGAAAGATTAATTGTATCTGTTTTGAGAAAGATCATTTCACATACTAAATCATTGTTCTTTTTGATATACAACCTTAAAAGATGCCATTATTGACTTTCAAAGGAAGCTGTTGACACCTAATAATTATATCAATAATTCTGATGATTTCTAGTGTTTGAAAAAGGAAAAAAAAAAAGGACCCTTACCTAAATAGTTCATTTTAGATTATAAATAGAAGAAAATCTATTTATCTTATTTGATTTCTAAGGATTGTGTTTGCGTTATTATTGCAGGTTGGTGGTATGGTGTTGTAGGTCACTTGGAATCATGTGATGGGAATATGAATTACTGCCACTGTCATAGTAGTGGTGAGTTTGATTTCATCTTTTCTCTATTTGCGAGTAGCACTTTATTCTTGAAAATAGAGGTTTAAGGGAATCTGACAAGTAACAAACTAATTGTGGCTGGTAATATTGTTCTGCTGTTGCACCCCTTTTTAGTATATTGCCTATTTAATTGGCCATTTGATTTTAATTCTGATTTTATGTCCAAGAATCAGAAAATAAAGGTGAGAACCCGTTTTAATTATTTTTTATTGTTAATTGTGGGTGAGATGGAATGCATAGGTTCAGGGAGGATTCTTGAATCCCCATTTTTTACACTACATGGACCAGCTGTTAATGCTGTTTGGTTGGTCCCCAAAACAAATCGCTGTCATTGTGTCATAATTTCCACCAACATTGTGATGACTTCTGTCTTTTCTGTGGAATATTTATTTCCAACCACACTGATTGAACCCAATGTTTACTGTGAGAAACTGTTTGTTTGCTAATCTGGAATCTTTTGGCTATGTGGGGCTGTAAAAATTTTCTTTCGTTTTCTGTTTTCTTCATGACCTAACAGACCTCCAATGCCTCCCCAGCCCCACTACCCAAGTTACATATCCACACTTCCTATCCTTTCTCCGTCACAATAAAAGAAAGAAATGTCTCACTTTCCATTTCCCTAGGAGCTTGAAAAGGCATACAAATATTATTTCTTTATAGCAATAAGAGTTCGTTTGTCCCCATCGGGGCACTGTCCCCATTGGGGCACTATCCCCATTGGGGCACTAAGTAGATGTACTAGAAAGCCTTGAGAAATTTTTTAATCATTGCAAATGAGTTTGGTTTCTTGTTTGGATTATTGGGTGAGTTTCTAACATGTAAGTGATGATGACAGACACGGTGGTGTTGGAGTTCAATCAGTACACCCCTGGCTCAAGGTGGAGGCGCACCAGAGTCAATAGGAAAGATCATCAAGAGGAGGGCGATGAAGCAGATGGATTTTATGGGGGAATACGCAAGCTTGAAACCGAGGAGGAGATTTGTACTTGGAAGAAGCTCTGGCCAACTGCAGTCTTGGAATAGAATCATATTCTTTGGGTAAAAGAGCAAGAAGCCTAATCTACAACGCAGCTGCTGCCGGGGAAATGAAAATAGGCCTTTTAAGTGGCAGACATGGAGGTTGTTTTCTCTCCCATTCTTTTTGTTTCAGAACATTTTTTTTTTCTATGGGAGATTGTAAGCATGGTACCAGACTTAATGTGAAGAGCCAGAATTTGATGTAGTTTCCCCACATGGTTACTGGAAGATTTTAGGCCGGAAATCATTCAAGCTCCTCTGATTGTTTGTAAACATATATATTGGTGACTGGAAGTTGTAAATTATGCATTTCCCATATCCACTGGGAGCTTAGTTTTTTATTAATTGCAGCATTCTGTTGCTTCTTTTCAGTTTTAGGAACCTGCTCATGGAGCCACTTTGGACCCGTCAAAGCTTTTGGAAGGATACTCCACTTGAACGCAACTATCTCCACTTCTGGAGTCTTATAATTCAAATATAGAAGTATCGTTCGTTATATCCGAGTAACTCAACATTTACAATAACTATACGGTTGTCATTGACTTTAAGAGAAAATTTTAACATTTTCATACACGTTATGACTCCCATAAAACATGATCTTGAGACAATCCGATGCATTAGTGTTAATATGATCGCATCCTGTGACCCCACACAATGACCAAGAATCTGGTGCATTAGTGTGGTTATGATAGCATATTACGACCCTACAAAATGAAAGAAGGGAAATCATAGAATCTTGCCTTGTTACTGCTGCACATACTTTGATCCCAAACCCACACAAAGAAATAGCTCAGGCCTGTAATGTGTCAGTGTCAGTTTGTTCGCCTCAGGAGGCTTTGTTTCTGTTGAGTTTGGGTCCTGTTTTTGCTTCTTCTCCGTTTCTCTTTTTCCTGTCGATGTGCTTCTAAACAGAAATCTATTGATTCTCTTCCCTGTGCTTTCTCTTGTCTCCCTGTTAGGATTGGTTGGGCCTGCCTTGCCGGGGTTTCCCTGGTCCACTTTCACAAGTCTTGCCCGCCTCGCAAACAGAACCCACTTGGGCTCATTTAATTTTATCGGGCTCTTTGCTGCCCGCTTGATAGGACTCCCTCCTGCATTTTCCAATGTATTGGATCTCTGTGGGCTCGTCCCTGTATTCGGGACATGGACCGAGCCCGTCTATGACTGTTCCCCGCTGATTTCTCTTCCTCTGCTCCCCTTACATTCTCCAAAGCTACCATGAAAGGATCAGAGTCATCGTTCCACAAGCTCCGCCGTTGAAATGGCAGCCTCAGCCCGCCGCTAGGTGATTTTGGCTAAGGCAGTGTCGAGCTTTGCCGATCATGTTTGTCACTCTTGAAGACGTGGCGGAGGCTTTAGTGGCATCAGTGGCATAACTTTGCCATCACAAAATAGTTCATCAGCAAATGCCATGGCAGGCTGTGACTTCTTTTGCTCATCCTGCTCGGACTTCCATCCCGCCTCAACGTGACATTTATTGATGTTGAAACGCTGGCTGGTATCAAATTCAAACTCATCGAATGTGGAATTGGCATCCTCATATGTGTTTGGTGTTCCTGGCTCAGTGTCATGATAAAAAACAGCAATGTTGTGTGCCTTCCTTATGGGCGTTGTTGGAGCACTATGGAAGTACAAGTATTCCGGACTGCATCTTCCAGGGCTAGTAGGTGCACTCACATAGAAAGAATCATTTGGCACTTGAGATGACAAAGTTTCCATCTTTGCAATCTATAGTAGGTTTCTTTTTTTTACCAGCCCTTTGCAATCTAGTAGGTAAAACAGAAAGAAGAGTTTTTGATGCTGAATTGAAGGAGAGGCAGAGGAGAGATGAATATATGGAAGAATGGGGTCTATGTCTTACAGATTATTCTTCAATGCTTAAGAAGGAATTCCGGGGTTCATGTTTTATGCTATGTGATGTTTACAGGGTTCAAAGTCAAAATTATATTCAATAGGACAAAATCCTTGATTATATAATATGATATATATATATATATATTATTGATTAAAGAAAATGGTTAAGAACAGCTCTTAGTTTAGTTTTTTTTTTTTGTTTTTTTCCCCACCTATCCAAAGACTAACATTTTCATTTGGCCAGCGGCGTGTGGTCATTCTCATATGCCACCCCTCCCAAGATGCTTAAACTTTTAATTTGCTTAAAATAAATTAAAAAATGGCCAAAAAAATAAATAAAAGAAATTAAAATCCAGGGATGTCAAAAATATGGTTGCTTTATTAAGCAATGGAGTCATGGAGCTTAATTTTTCCTACTTGATGTAATGTAAGTATCTCCAAAGTAGGAAAAATTATTTACTCATATGTTATTATTACTTTTTACGTAAAGTTTTGAGATTAAATCCTAAATTTGTTCTTAAAAGTATAGATAATTTTATCATCCAATCACAAATAATTCTCATATATTATTGTTATATATCTAATATACTACAATATGTTAATAAGATTTAGATACATAATATAAAAACTGAAATAATAATTGGATCTACTTCATTTTTAATTACAAAAATTCATGATTATAGACAACTTAATTGTTATTAATGTGATAAATTGTTATTAATTTGTTACATATGTAAAAAGAGTAAGAATTTATTTACATATAAATTTTGTACATTACACTTATATAAAATATTAATCATTCATTATTCTATTTTTAATAGTTGAGATTTATCCATATTTATTAAAAAAATTATTTTTTACCAAAAAAATCATAATAAATCTTAATTATTGAAAATAAATAAATAATTAATTAAAATTTTATATAAATATAATATATAAAACTTATACATGAAAGGATCTCTTCTTATATAAAAATAATTCTATTTTCATATCATATGAGAAATAAAATACATTTCCTCTTAGTTTGTTGTCTCCAT